CTTACTTGCCAAGGAGACCGCTAATTAGTTATACAATGTATAGTAGAAACACTAATGCCACTAACGTTGAATGGGATCGATAATAGAAACAAACTTTTGACGTACTCCTGGTGTCCCTATTCTGTTGTGCTGTCTGACCACTTACTTGTCTCATCAATTTCTCAATAGACATACTTTGTATTATATTTTCTTTTCCCCTTTATATTAGCAAGACTCTAGCAATGAACGATAACTTTGTCATAACACACAATCTATACACTAAACATTATATATTTGGCCATTTTTTTCATATCCAAGGTTTAGAGAAATTACTATAAAAGTTTCTTCTTCGAATCATCTATGGTTAAAGCATGATTTGAAGCAACAGAAGAAGCATTAATAGAATCCTATTACACTGAATTTCTGTGTTGTTGTAGGCTGCAATTTTCGCTGATCCTTTGTGTCATATAACAGAATATCGGTTCCCTCTCCCTCGTGGCTCCAGAACGATTTGGAAATGGGTCAGGCTCTCCAATAGCATACTGGGTTAAAAGGTCCTCTAAGACAATATTTGCCCTTTCTCCCAATGGCATTTGAAACTCCCCTACCCCTCACGCGACACGACAGTTCACATAAGCTAATGAATGGATAAAAGTAATGCCAAGGCTGAATTAGAGGGGCTTACCGGTATCGCCCGGGATACAAATAAAATAAATATATTTTCATCCTTTTGTGTTAATTGAGTTAAATGAAGTGATCCCATCCCCCCCCCCCACACATCCTTTCTTTCTCTTGAATTGCGCATAAATAAAACGACGCGCTGTTTTAATCTAGATTATTAAGGGCGAAAATGTAAAAAAAAAAAAAAAAAAAAAAAAAAAACAAGAGTTGTGTGTTTGTGCGCAAGTTAAGTAAAGTCCTGCACATGATGTCCCATGGGGGGAAAAGCTGGGGGTTCGATACTAATCATGAGGTCAGTCTTGGATGTAATGTAGGCAATATATATCTCGCTCTCTCCTTTTTTGCTGGCTGACTGGCTCGTACAAAGCCGCAATTGGTATTCCTATTATTATTGTTTTTAATATCACTATTATTTGTTATTGCTATTATTGCTGTTGATATAATCATATACAGATTTCATACACAGAAGGAAAATGAATGGTTTATTCGATTGTTCCCATGGACAGACAACTTTGAAGTTTGGAAAAGCATCATAAATACCCTTACCACAAATACACAACAGTATACCTTGAATTTCGAGACGAGGTTAATTCAGGCAATATTAGGTGTGGCACCGTGATTTAGGTTGGAGTCTTGCACTAAATAGGATAGTAAAATAAGTGAATTGCGGGCGGTAATCGAGACATAGAATCATCGCATTACTGAGAGGGCTATGATCTTCTTTTGATTCATATTATACTGATGACTTTTAATGCTTAGAGATGAAGAAGGATAAGGTGCCTATATGGTATGGTCTTTGTTATATATAATGAAATAGAATATTGATATGTAAATGGGATACATTAGTTGTTGATGATTTGGTTTTAAAAAAGATGTCGAAGCAAAATAAAAGCATTATGAGGGTTGGTATTACAGCTGTCATACACAGGGCGCTCACACACAAGCCGAACTGACACACACAATTAAGAAGGAACAACACAGCAAACAGCACAAAAGACGAGGATACGAAAAGAGAATCACACACAACACACACGCATCACACAAACAATATATGAGTAATAATATAAGACATTATATAATAAATATATATATATATATATATACAATGATACAGTGTTTGTATATATCTATAATGATATTTATTGTACGTGTTGTGTGTATGTATATATATTTATAGGATACAATTTATATATATAATTATATATATATATATATAATATATATATATATGACAGTTTAGAGAGATAGAGTTGTATAAAATTATTATAGAGTATACATATATATATATTAATATATATAGTATAATATTATATGTATATATTATATATATATTATATATACATATATATATATATATATATATTTATATATATATATATGAGAGAGAGAGAGAGAGAGGAGAGAGAGAGAGAGAGATACAAACATATATACATTTATATGATACAGTTATATATATACATATATATTATACATTTATACATACATGCATATATATATATATATATATATATATATATATATATATATATATATATATATGATACATTTATATATGTATATATATGCATACACACACACACACACACACACACAGACACACACACACACACACACACACACACACACACACACACACACACACACACACACATATATATATATATATGTATAAAAAATATAAATAATACATCCTATTTCACATAGGCTGGACATGTTCCTAAGGGTAATGTTGCAATCAGTTGTAAAAATTATATATTTTTTTCTGGACATTCTCCAGGCATAGTCCTACAAAGAGAAGACACTTAATGAGAATATTATTAAACAATTGGTTTAAAGATAATTTGAAGTTCCTACTTTTCATATATCAGTCGTGTCCATTTCGCAATCTGCATCTCTTTCTACTGATCTGGCTAAATATGATGTAAATTGTTTCTGTTTGGGAAGGCAGGGCTCCCCTTCACACTTGGTCTAAGCACTGCATGTGATAAAGATGATACACAATCTGTCAATGAGACAAAGACTGGCAAGGTATGAGTGATTCATTGAGGTACCTTGGGGAAACATTCTCATGGACAATGTTAACAAACAGGCAATTGATTTTTGCAAATTACTAGTTAGCTCATGCGAATGTACCCAGCAAGACATATAAGCATAGCTGCTATAACTGGAAAAGCAGCTGATAAAATTATGAGAGTCTAGAGCCGTTATAGACGCCCTTTTTCAAGAAATAACTATGCCCATGCTATTGTTTCCAGGAGAATGAAAGCGGTTTAATTATGGGCAATTGGAGCTCTTCCGATCAAAATTCACTTGCAGTTGAGTGAGACCTTCAACTTGGTGGAGGTGCATCAAACAATAACACGGACGAGGACATCTTCCAACTCTAAATTTTCTCCGAGATGAAAATAAAAAACTTGACTGACCATCTCCCAGTCTGCCACTCGTTACCAACTTGCAGCTTTACAGTTCCGTGATCTCAAGCAGAAATCTAAGCAAGACTGATGGCCAGAAAGTCATGGGACCTAATGAAATCAGTCATTATGCACTAAACAAGCGTGTTAGACGGCTCACTGCTCGTCTTACCTCACTCTACCAAACATGCCACAGTTGCAGAAAGTAACTGGATATTTGGTAGAAAGCAAACATAGTGCAGTGCATTACAATGGTTACAAAAAAGGAAACTACGGTCCTAATTCACTATTACGTTTGATTAAACGAACGAGCTACCAATATCTGACCTCAAAACATGGATGTCTACCGGGGTCCTCTGCTCCTTGTGGCCCCTGGGGCCCTTTCAAAGGGGTCCAAAAATGCGCTAGATTAACATGTGAGGTACTGAAACCACTTTAAGGTGAAAAGGTATGTCACACAGTTTACCTGGTGACCTATGCTAGACAAATTCTCTGCGGCTAAGGGGCCGTCAGACACCCTTAATTAAAGAGCCTTAATATTTAATCCAAGTTCAACATTCGAGGTACCACACGGAACTAGTGTAAGAATTTCGTACAAGTCCCCC